GGCAAGAGAATCGCTTAAGCCCAAGAGTTTAACATTGCTGTGAACTGTGATACCACAGAACTTTACCCAGGGCGACAGCTTGAGACACTGTCTCAAAAAAAATTTTTTTTAAAAATAAAAATAAACAAATAAAATAAAAGCAAGGTCAGTGGGGTCCAAGGAAGACCAGAGGTCAAGTAAGAGAACTGAGAAACAGCACAGGATATAGTGGGTGGCATGGCAGTGGGCAAGAGCCTTGATGAGAATGGTGACCATGTTGGGGCCATCAAAAGCCAGATGACGGGGGAGAGAGAAGTGTGAATATAGACTCTTCAAGTCCTGAACCAAAGGAAGTCTCTGAGTTCATATATGTGAAATGGGAATAATGAGTTCTATGCTGGAGCTGATCTCAGGCTTCCCCCAACCCCTGCAGGCTGGCAGGAGCTTGCACAGCCCAGGGATGGGGACAGAACCCACCTGCACAGAACACACCCTTCACTCCACTTCTGAAGATCAGGACACGCAGTTGCTGTTCCTTTCGCAGCTGGGCCAGAGCATCCAGCAACTACAGGGGACACTCGGTCAGATACGCCCAGACCATCCCCAGACACGCCACCCCACTCCTACCCCCTCTCTTACCTCACTGACCAAGACATTCCCCAAGGCATTGCGGGCACGAGGTCTGTTCATCAGAATCTCAGAGATTCCTGTAGGGGACAAGGCAGCCTCGGGTAAGCCTACTGGGCCTTCTCACTCCTGCCTGTGCTCCGGGCAGACCCCTGCCCTAGACGACGAGAGTGACTAGCAGGTTTAGGGCTTTCCTAGCCCTGAAATGGAGAGAATAAACCTGGCTCTTCCTGCCTAACAGGGGAGTAGAAGGGCTTGTGAGCTGTGAAGCAAAATGACCACATCGGTCGCCCTTGCCTGCTTCTGCCATCATCACACACACACCCACATGTTCCCAGTTCCCTCTGTATTATTCTCCCTTCACAGTCAAACCGCTTCCTCTAGAGCAATGTTTTTCAGCCTTTTTTATCTTATGGCACACTTGAATTGATAGTTAAACTTCTGCGCTACACTTAAATTACATAGATTAAATATATATATATATACTTACTGTGCTTTGAACTTCTTTTGAAAATAATTTAATTAATGATCTTTAAAATTTTTGTGGCACATGTCAGATCCTTTCTTGGCACATTGATTGAAAATCATTGCTCAGGAGTTTTAAATAGTTACAGTAAAGTAAATACCCTTGAAACCACCACCCTAATCAAGAAATAGAACAGTGCTAGCTCTTACCTGGAAGCCCCACTGTGTGCCCGGACCACACTCATAGTCCCCCACCCACCCCCCCGCCAACTGCCTACTACCATCACCAAAACAACTTTTTTCTTTTTCATTTTCTGTTTTTAAAGATGAGGTCTTGTAAAGATGAGGTCTGGGTGCAGTGGCTCATGCCTATAATCCTAGCACTCGGAGGCCAAGGCATGTGGATTGCCTGAGCTTACAGGTTTGAGACCAGCCCAAGCAAGAGTAAGCCCTCGTCTCTCTCGTCTCTAAAAATAGCCGAGTGTGGTGGTGGGCGCCTGTAGTCCCAGCCAGTTGGGAGGCTGAGGCAAGAGAATCGCTTGAGCTCAACAGTTTGAGGTCACTGTAAGCTGTGATGTCACAGCACTCTACTGAGGGCAACAAAGTGAGACTGTTTCAAAAAGAAAAAAAATGAGGTCTCAGCGTGGTGCCTGTGGCTCAAGCGGCTAAGCCGCCAGCCACATACACCTGAGCTGGCGGGATCAAATCCAGCCTGGGCCCACCAAGCAACAATGACAGCTGCAATGTAGTCCCAGCTACTTGGGAGGCTGAGGCAGGAGACTCACTTGAGCCCAGGAGTTGGAGGTTGCTGTGAGCTGTGATGCCAGGGCCCTCTACCCAGGGGGACAGCTTGAGGCTCTGTCTCAATAAATAAATAAATAAATAAAAAAAAGTGAAAAATTACAAAATAAAAAAGTTATAGCAAACCAAGGCTAACTTATATTGAAGAGGAGAGGAGGGAAAGGGGAAAAGGAAGGAGGGAGGGTGATTGAAGAGCTCTCACCTAACATGCCCAAGGTGAGGGGGTTCAGCATGCCCCCCGGGTGAAGGGCTCAGCTACAACTTCACCTTTACCTTAGAAAGGTAACCACTGTGCTACAGGTGTGGAGCCTTAATCTGAAATTTTCAAAAAATCCTTACAAGCTTTATCAGTTCAGTTTAACATGTAGCCTAAGTGTACAGAGGTTACAAAGTCTACAGTAGTGAACAGTAAGGTTATGGGCCGCCACAGTCACACACCACCAGAGCTTCCAGTTTCGGCAAGCTTTGTTCACAGTGAGTACCTTGTTATAAATGTACCATTTTTTTTTTTTTTTATCTTTTATGCCTTATGTTTTACAGCATCTGTTCTGTTTGGGTATGTTCTAGGTACACAAATACTTAGCATTGTGTTGTAACTTCCTACAGTGCGCAGTGAGAAGCAGGCTGTGCAGGTTTGTAGCCTAGGAGCAAAAGGCTATACCACAGAGCCTAAGTGTACAGTAGGCTGTACCATCTAGGCTTGTGTAAGTTCACTCTATGATGGTCACACAAGGACATAATCACTTAATGACATTTTTCAGAGTGTAGTCTGGGTGATGCCTGACTGTATAAGAAATAGGGCTGCGATGGGTGGAGGGAGGGTAATTGGTGGGACCACACCTACGGTGCATCTTACAAGGGCACATGTGAAATGTACTAAGTGTAAAATACAAATGTCTTAACACCATAATTAAGAAAATGCCATAAAGGCTATGTTAACCAGTTTGATGAAAATATTTCAAATTGTACATAAAACCAGCACACTGTACCCCATGATTGCATTAATGTACACAGCTATGATTTAATTTTTTAAAAAAGCAAAATAAACAAGATAAAAAAGAAGAAAAAGAAAAAGAAATAGGACTGCAAAAGAAAAGTGAAGCAGCTGAACACGGTGTCTCACACCTGTAGTCCTAACACTCTGAGAGGCTGCGGTGGGGTGAGCCAGACCCATCTCTACTAAAAATAAAAAAATTACCCAGGTGTTGTGCCAGGTGCCTGTGGTCCCAACTTCTAGGGACGCTGAGACAGATGGCTCACTTGAGCCCAGGTATTTGAGGTTGCTGTGAGAGAGGCTGATGCCAAAGCACTCTATCCCAGAAAACAGATTGAGACTTTGTTAAAAAAAAAAAAAAAAGAGGGCGGTGTGTGGCTCAAAGGAGTAGGGCACTGGCCCCATATGCCAGAGGTGGCCAGTTCAAACACAGACCAGGTCAAAAATTGCAAAAATAAAAAATAAAAAAAAATAAAAAGGGTGGTGCCTGTGGCTCAGTGAGTAGGGCAATGGCTCCATATACCAAGGGTGGCGGGTTTGAACCCAGCCCAGCCAAAGTGCAACAAAAAAATAGCCAGGCATTGTGGTGGGCACTTGTAGTCCCAGCTACTTGGGAAGCTGAGGCAAGAGAGCTAAGCCCAAGAGCTAGAAGTTGTTGTGAGCTGTGACGCCACAGCACTCTATGAGGGCAACAAAGCAAGACTGTCTCCAAAAAAAAAACAGTGAAGAGAGGTCAACCAGTCCATCTAACTCTCAAGGACCACAGGTAAAATGTGGTGATGCTCGGTGCTGTCTGCCTCAGTGGAAGTTTAGTGGCTTCTACTATGAACATCAAATAACCCAACTCACTTTCTTTTTTTTTTTTTTCCTGAGACAGAGCCTCAAGCTATCCCCCTGGGTAGAGTGCCGTGGCATCACAGCTCACAGCAACCTCCAACTCCTGGGCTCAAGCGAGTCTCCTGTCTCAGCCTCCCAAGTAGCTGGGACCACAGGCGCCTGCCACAACACCCGGCTATTTTTTTGGTTGCAGCTGTCATTGTTTTGGCAGCCGGGTTGGATTCGAACCCGCCACCTTAGGTGTATGTGGCTGGCGCCTTAGCCACTTGAGCCACAGGCGCCGAGCCCCAACTCACTTTCTGTGTGGGTGCCCTGTGTGTGATCTCTGCCCCATGGGTCCTCCAGGGTTCCACCTTGGTTTCCTTCTCTCTTCTCACTGACTTTCTCCCTCATACATGGAGAGACGAGGACAGAAGCATAATCTGTTTCATACTTATACTCTGTCATTCATACCGGAGAAAAGGATTCCCAATATTTGCAAGTGAGCCCAAAGTTCTGTGACTCATAATACTTTTTCATTTATAGATGTATAAGTCTCTATTTCTAGTCACTGAATTATTAGAAGAAACAGTGATGACCTAACAGTTGACAACAGGCTCTGAAATCAGATCTGGTTCCAACTACAAATCCCAGCACAAGCTGTGCCTCGATGGCTTAATCCGTAAAGGCGGGAGGATAATCTGACTATCCGGGTAAACTTGGTTGGCAGTAGGCAATGAACTAAGCGGTGTGGGATAGTCTCTAGGGTCTAACAATCCCACCTGGTCAGGGAAGGGAAAGCCAATTGCGTAAATTAAAACTCGGACATAAGGGGCAGTGCCTGTGGCTCAAAAGGGCAGGGCGCTGGCCCCATATGCCAGAGGTGGGGGTTCAAACCCAGCCCTGGCCAAACAAAACAAAACAAAACTCGGACATAAACAATGCTACATCAAACGCAGGGGGAGGGGTTGCGATTGCGGGGAAAGCAGAGAGGCCAGAGGTTAAGCGCAGCGCAATGCGTGTGACCAGGGCCACGGAACGCGCCTGAAGTCCAACAAGGCCACACAGCTCCAAGTCAGTGACCCGAGAACTTTCCCCTTAATATTACACTGGATCTTAGCCAAAAGGCCCAAAGGCCAAGAGCTGTTTAAGTTCACCCGGGGGCAAAGTCAGCCGGCGGCCACAGGGCGGGCAGGTGGGAGAGGCGCCCGCGGCCGGTCCCTCCCTCCCTCCCTGCGCCGGCGGGATTGGCTCCGCCGCCTCCGCCCCCCGAACCTTGCCAGGGCCGTTGGCGCGGGAGGAGAACCCGGCATTTTAACGCTCCTGACCCGGGTTACGGGGGCCCGGGCCTACCCCTGCCCTGCCCAACTCCACGCCCCCACCACTCTGCCCGAGGCAACTAAAGGAGGGCTGAGGACACCGAGATTGACAAAGAGCCCCACCCTGCTGGGTCCCGCAGCCTTTCAGGTGGTCGCCCACCCCTCTCGGGCCATGGGCTGCTGGGGAGCCGAGACTGGGAGGCAGGCGACTGGGGATAGAATCCTCAAATGCGACCCTCCTTCCCCATTGCCTCGGTCTCCCCGCGTGCAGTGGGTGCGCCTGCCGGCGCTTGGGTCCTTGGCCCGGCCTTGTCCCAGCGGCTTTCTGGGTGCTCCTGGTAACGGCGCATCATTTACCTTGGTCTGGACCCTCCAGAGCACGCACTTGGATCTCCGGGCTCCCGGCCGCCTGGTTCGAGGCGCAGCCGCGGGCCCCTAGAGGCCTCCAGGGGCGCGGGAGGCGCAGAGCTCTGGGCACGAAGCGCAGCATCGGGGCGCAGCCTGGGAAGGTGGCGCCCGGGCCGCCACCTCCTGGGCTTGGGCTGAAAGCTCGCGGTGCCGGCGGGCCGAGACCTCCCTGGCCAATTGCTCCACCTTCGGGCGGACGGGCCGTCGCTCTCTGCACCTCCTGGGGACCCGGGACTCGTGCGGAGAAGCGTCGCTCTTTAGTGTGATTTGGAGCAAGATTGCCAACCTTTCTAAGCGTCAGCGTTCTAATCCGTGAAAGAGGGATGACAATGTGGGTGTGTGAACCTTGTTTACAAATATGCTTAGTAAACATCATTTCTTAAAAAACGTACAGTGGTTAGGGCGCTGGCCACATGCACTGGGGTTGGTGGGTTCAAACCCGGCCATGCCTGCTAAACGGAAAAATGAAATAAAAAATAGCCGAGCATGGCTCAGCGCCTGTGGCTCAAGTGGCTAAGGCGCCAGCCACATAAGGTGGCAGGTTCGAATCCAGCCCAGGCCGCTAAAACAACTATGACAGCTGCAACCAAAAAATAGCTGGGCATTGTGGCAGGCGCCTGCCTACAATGTCCTAGCTACTTGGGAGGCGGAGGCGGCAGGAGACTCACTTGAGCCCAGGAGTTGGAGGTTGCTGTGAGCAGTGATGCTATGGCATTCTACCCAGGGGGACAGCTTGAGGCTCTATCTCAAAAAAAAAATAGCCAGGCGTTGTGGCTCACGCCTGTTGCTGTAAGGTTCTCACAGAAAAGCGATGTTGCAAAGAATAAGCACACTTATTGAAATTGTGTTTTAAATAAAGGTGATCATCTCCTTGCTCAGGCAAAATGGCGAGCCTTTTTTATTTGCTGTTGGTTTATATAGGCAATCTTGTGCATGCGCACTATACAGCAATGACCTCATTAACATTCGTGTGCATTGGACATCAATGACTTCATTAATCCATTTAAACATCTTAAGACCATCTGCCCTAGCTCGGCACCTATAGCTCATCCGGCTAAGGCGCCAGCCACGTACACCTAAGGTGGC